TCGGCCCGACCAGGGATTCGAACCCCGGACTCATGATCAGCAACCACGTTTACGACTACTAAATCACGTTTACGTACACCAATGAGGCAGTCAAAAAAAGTATAATATTGAAGAAAGGTCTGTGTAGTCGGTAGAATTGTGGGAACATCCGTGCAGACCAAATTAAATGATAAAGTTTCAAAGATATTCAGAGTTCGTTTATAATGCAATTAAGTACTTGAGTCGGTTTGTCGGTACGATTCAATTACTAACTTTGTGAATATTTTATACCTGTAAGACGAATGGCTATTGAGATGGATCGTTAACGGGATATATTTACTAAATACTAAACTACGTTACTCTTTACTATTTTGTCTTTAATTTATTAATTTTTTCCATAGGATATGGGTGACAAACGAGCACACATTCCACCTGATGGTAAGTGGTTGCTGTAACCCATAGACATCTACAGATGCGTTGCCACCCGTGAGAACTAAGATGGAATGTCTCGTTTCAACACACACAGTGGCGTTAAGCTGTTACGTAGGTGGTCACTCAATAAGTTTTGAGATGCTCGAAATTTAAATATTTGAACGCACCCGTGATATAATATGTTTCTACAAAGCAAATTTATTTAAAAATAGAACTCCATAAGCCAATTGCTCAATATTTAAAAAAAAAGTTCAATTAATTTTCCTGCAATGCTTCCCACGCTTTTCATTTAAAACAATGGATCTTAACAGTGAACATTTGCGCGCTATGATATATTACGATTTTAAATTTGGTTTAACCGAACAATTAAGTTTACAAAGGTTACAATCAGCATTAGGGGACTCAGCTCCATCACGCGCAACAATTTTTAGGTGGTTTGCTTAATTCAAAAGAGGTAAAATTAATCTTAAAAATGACCAAAGACCCGGGGACCCGCAAACAGTGGTAACGGCAGATAATGTATGGACTACAGAAATGTTGGTGAGAGAAGACCCACGAATCACATATACGGACATCGAAAAGATTGTAAACATTAGTTCGGGTAGAATTTATACATTATACATCAACATATTGGAGTGAGGAAACTTTATTGTCGATGGATCCCCCGCTTGCTCTCCGAAAGCGAAAAATAGACTCGTGTGGATTAGTGCCATGAAATGCTTCTGCGTTTTGAAAACGGGGCATCTAGGCGCGTTTTAGAAATCGTTACTGGTGACGAGACATGGATCTATCAATATGATACGGAAAATAAAAGGCAATCATCGGTATGGGTCTACTCAGATGGACGGTTACCGACAAAACTGCCAAGACCTCGCAACGTTGGCAAAAAAATGGTGGCTAGTTTTTTTTTGCGGAGCGGACATTTGTCGACGTCAATGCTGGAAAATTGTAGGTCAGTCAACTCTGAATGGTATACTATAGTTGCATTAACCAAAGCTTTTCCAGCTGTGCGGGAGAGAAGACCAAAGACCGGGCTTCGGGAAATCATGCTGCATCGCGATAACGCCTCTTTACATATCTCCCTTAGAACAAAAGCATTTATTGAGGAATTTGGTGTTGAAACTCTAAGTCACCCACCCTACAGCGCTTACTTAGCTCCTTGTGGTTTCTTTTTGTTCCCAAGAGTGAAAGAAAAAATAAAAGGCAAGTTTTTTTCAAGCGCCGAAGAAGTCGTAGCTGCCTACGAAGAAGCGAGAACTAAGAGAACGAAGACTGGCAAAAGTGTTTTTAGAGTTGGTTTAGGCGAATGGAACTTTGTATAGAGCATGATGGAGAATATTTTGAAAAGATGTAAAATAAATATGAATAGTATCTAGAATACTTTTTGTACTTATATCTTAAAATTTAGTGACCTACGTATTTTATGCTGGTATTCTGTGAGAGCGTGGTCTTTCTCCGGACCTCCGGAGAAAGACCACGATCTACCACGTCGAAATATTGTATCAACATTAACATCATTACAGCAATAGATCACAAGTCCACAACTGAACAAAGGCTTTCTTCATATATGACCACAAAGAGTCAGTAAAAATAAAATGACAAACGAACTAACACTCCTCCTCACATCCTGTAATTAACGTTCATAAGTGGGTGCTGCTGTCCAAGGACACCTGCAGGCCTGCAGCCAACTTTTTTTACGTGGTAGAGCCATACTACAGTTATAAGTAGTAGCACGAATGGGTCGGCTTGACCGGGGAAGGACCACGCTCTCACAGATTACCCGCGTAAAATAGCATATTAACGCTGCTGTGTTTCGTATGGTGAGTGTAGAGAACCGGAGACCCTTTTTACTGGAAAAGAGGCATTACATCTTAGTCCTCACGAGTGACAACGCATCTGCATTTTGATTCTTAATTGAGGATAAATATAGATGTCTATGGCCCACAGCAAACATTTACCATCAGGTGGACTGTGTGCTCGTTTGTCACTCGATCCTATAAAAAATAAAAACTTGAATACGTATGCGTTGTCACCTCTGAGGACTAAGATGGAATGCCTCAGCCTGTAACTATACTCTTTTTACTTTAATAATACGTTACCTCCACATTAGGATTTTCTCCTGTATCGTAAGGCAGTTTACATATACACATTTCACAAGTACAAACATCCAGACCCGAAACAATTATTTGTAAGCCATACAAGTACTTGTTCCATGCGGTATTCGATTCCGCGGCCCTTAACGCTTCAGCTCATTGCTAGCCCACTGCACCATGGAGTCGTCTTTATATATAGTGAGTCGATACACTGCATCCAACGACTTACTGCATGCCCCTTGAAGTCTTCTCTCCGTCTAGTGGAGGGTTGTCTTTTCGTGGTGTCGTTGCTACCAGTATGAGATAGATACGAGATTTTTTTCCCGTTAGTAGTTATTTCTTCGAGTCATGTAGCAGGTTATCGATAATATGCACTGATAATATGTGAATTTAAGGACTAAAATGCATGACCAAGATTGAAAATTAAGCTGATGTGCTATTTAAACCTCGCTAATTACCTCATCGCTGGTTTAGTACACCAGCTTAGTTCTTTAATATTAATAGTATAGTAGTAGCACGAATGGGTCAGTTCGACCGGGGTAGGACCACGCTCTCATAGAATACCAGCGTAAAATAGCAGCTTAACACTGCTGTGTTTCCTTTTACTGGAAAAGAGGCATTCCATCTTAGTCCTCACGGGTGACGACGCATCTGCATTTTGATTCGCAAACGAGGATAGATGTAGATGTCTATGGGCCACAGCAATCACTTACCATCAGGTGGACTGTGTGTTCGTTTGTTGCCCTATCCTATAAAAAAAAATAGGCTGGAGATTCCCGCCAAAAACCGCCGTTGGGTATGATTTTGTTAGACTTCCCGATGAATTTCGCCTATGAAATTGAATAGAATCACTGTTTTTACACCTCTTACATCATTCAGAATTGCAAATGGGGCCATTTTCGTCGTTACTTTTTAAGAAGAAAGCTGATAAGATTTCTTATTATTTACCTACAGATTTTAAAACTTTATGTTTCTATTCCAATAAAGTGTATGGATTTAAGAGAAATTTGGTATGAGTTTATAATCTTTAAAAAGAAAACGAAGTGTTTATATACATATGCAGTTTACTTGGTTAACATATTTAGCTATAATTTATTTACAACAATATCAACAATTTCAGATGATAACTGATATAAATATACATATAACAAGAGCATTATGAATAAACGTATTGGTATATCTACATTAATTCCCAAATTCTATAAGCTCCCACGCTTCACTAACACACACCTAAAAAATGTATTGGCGTCGACTCAGTGGAGTATAAATGTAATAAACGAAAGCAGTTACTTATTAACATTGGTATAGTTTTATTGAAAGTAATACTTTGACATTCTTAATACAATTTAGCTGTCATTACTACGACAATTTTTTCGACACAACTAATACACAACCGTGCACTACTTCTAAAGAAAATACACTACATACACGTCAGAAAACCAAATGCTGGAAAAACTTTCCTTTAATATACTTATAGTCTTTTTCGAAGTGAAAACTTCTTTATAATCATTGTGATTTGAAACTCGATGAAAAGGAAAAACGACTCTAAAAAGGGACAAAGATATACATCTATAGGATTTAGCCTGCGAGAGAATGAAATAGAATACAGACTACAGTGTATCTTCTACCGCGTGTGAACTGCACACAACATTTTTTTTCTTTAAAGAATATAAATTTAAGTCTGGCAGAGATATAGTATTCTAATGAGTATACATCATATGAATATAAATAAATGAATAATACAGTATAGATTCCTTATAAGTTCACAACAATTTACTGTCATGAACTTATAAGTTTATGAGAATGCAACTTTCTAAAATATCTTAAAACTTAATCTTAATTAATAAAATTTTGTTTTAGATAATATATTGAATTAACAGAAACCATAACCAACCTTAATATCTATCAGCTATCACAACATCGCGGACTTAAGCGTTATTCTGTCACATCTTAGACTATACCAATGCCTACTCATACTTTCACTATATATGCGAAATATAATTAGACTTTTTAGACAATCTTTCTCCTAAACGCGGTTCCAAAAGGCACTAGTTAATTTAAATGTAGTATGTCATACTTCGTCAATTTTTGTTGTGGCTTGATACTAGGATTTTCACAAGCCGGAAGGTAATGAATAGTTTTGTGGAAGTAATACCTACGGGGTAGAACACACTTTATACAACAACACATTTACAAAGTTATCGCTATAATTTATGATCCTGATTACAACTTTATAACATACATAACGTATCGATTTTTTAAATTGGGCGATTGGGCTAAATCAACCTTTGTGTCAAATTCGAAAAAACACCAAAATCTATAAAGTGATGACTAGTAAATTATATAGTGTGAAATCAACATTTTGTCATAGAAATTAAGTTTTAGAAACTTGAATTCAAAAACACATCTTCAATCACTCTGGCTGAAAAAGGAACTCTTACATTTTTTAATACTTTTGTGTATTGTGTATGTAAACAATAATTTCGGTGTAAATCATCATCGGCAGATTAGGCTTTCTTCTCTCGCAGCGCAAACACCATGTGGCGGAGCTAAAAACAACTTCCCATTAGCGCAAGCACATAGTTGGTAAATATTTTGATGATGCGGGTCATGTGTGTGTGGTGTTGACGGAGGTAGAGGTAGAGCTGATTTTAGTTTTGGCATGTATATATTTGGAGCGTCCAGCCGTATCTGTAATAAAAAAAAAATTAAAATAGTCATGAATAATTTATTAAACACAAAAGAGCAATGAATAAAATCGCCAGAGATAATAATAACATTATCTTTATATACCTCCTAATAATAATAATAATGTGCTCCAGACCGAATTTCAGTCACGGCGGCCAGTCTCAACGGAGACTAGCCATCTGTACAGGACAGGATTATAGTGCCCAAGTATAAGCGCAAGCACAGTTGCACTGTCTATTTCCTCACTCTCATAGTCCGATAGGACCGTAATCCGACACGAACGAAGAGAGATCAGACGCAGGATCAACGGCTTTACGTGCTTTTCGAAGCACGGAGGTGAAACATCACCAACTTCCTGACTTCGAACCGCTACAGAGAATTTCTTGACAGAAAAGCCCAATATCTGATTTTGGCCCGACCCGGGATTCGAACCCAGGACTTCATGATCGGCAATCGCATCATGACCACTTGGACAACGTGGCAGTCGAAAATGAACTAAAATAACCAGTACAGCCTCCTGTGCTTAAAATAGCTTACGCTGGTCACTTCTGTCACAGAAGTGACAACTGTTGGAATGGACGTAGCATGGGTAGTAAACCGAACTTAAGCTAATGTCGTGTAGAATACAATGTTTAAAAGGTACAACATAAAATAGTGTTAGGAGTGAGGGTAGATCCCCCCCGAACGGGTTCCCGCCTTGTCGTGGCGGGGGGGCTTAGTAGCCGTGGCTTGGTCTACCACGGTGAACAAAGAGGAACCCCTTGGCTGGCCCGAGGTGTAGGGCCGGCCCGAGGTGGCCACTCCAAGTGGGCTTGACGAGCCCACTTCCACAGCCCGCTTCCGCGGGGTGTCCGCTCCCTCTACCGCTGCAGCCGAGGTGGAGTCGCGGAGGAAGAGGAGTGTTGGTATGGCGATGCGCCACTCTCCCTATCCTCCGCGACTCAAACGGGGCCGCACCGTTGATGCGGTGGTGGTGGGGCCGCAGGGGGAGAGGAGTGTCGGTGTTGCGAGGCGCCGCTTTCCCTACCCTCCGCGGCCGAAACTTGGTTGGCGGCGGAGCCCAGACCAGATCCGCCGCTGGGGTCGGGAAAGCGGGCGCTATTAAGCGCTCGATTTTCCTGGCCCCATGGCCTCCGCGTATCGGACTCGGGGGGGTCCGATACGCAGGTGGAGTTGGAGGCTGTGGAGGGGGGTAACTGAACACCTCGCTACCCCGTGCAGGAGACGAGGCCCGGACAGACCGGGCCAGCACTAGTGGGGCTGCGGAAGAATTTGGATTCCCGCGGCCCCACGCGCACGTGCGAGGAGGCACCGTGGGGTTTTAGCCGGTAGGAGTCCGGCATAACCTTCCGGTTGCCCCCGCAGCCGGAGGTATCCATGAGGATTTCCCCACGAAAAAAAAGGAGTGAGGGTAGATAACTAAAAGCGTTAAAACTATGATATATAGGCATCTCCCTTTGTAAGGAATATTTGCCTTAAATGTCACGCTTTGCAGCAAATTGATGATCGCATTAGCAGACTTCTCGTACTCTCAACACTCCTGCCCTTTCCCGGTCTGGGTAATTTACCTCTGGAGTAAGCAAAACTGTTATACCACCATCCATCAGATCGGAAGCCATAAGATTTTTCTGGAATTTCCCTTAGTTACCTCTTGCGATACCTTGAAATGTGGTATTCCATTACGCCGCCACCACATGGCTTGAAATTCTTCGTGCTATTAAAATGTAATCAATCATCATTATTTACGTATATTATCTCGAAATCCCATTTAAGGCAATAATGCTTCTTTTTGAGAATTACTAGAAAAAATCCAGTTACAACACATACTCGGGCCATTCAGAAAGTTTTGCGAAATTAATAAAGCAATTCTATCATTAAAGTAAAATGTACTTCGTACTAGAAAAGACACCAAACAAGACTTGTTTGTTTGCAGCACGTGTTAGAGTTCACGGGCTCTAACTCGATTAGTCTGTGCCAGGCTAGTGCCGCGACGTGACGTTTGAGGACAAAGATAAGCATAATAAGCGTTCATGCATACTGAGGTGCGTAAGTGTAAATATTTTTCACTTAATCATCCTGCATTATCGATAAAACACGCGAAATTATATTTATCAATTGTCACTCCTAGCAACACTTGACCGCGCTAGTAGCCATATTTTGGTAAAATTATAGATTTACTTTTGCTCAGATATAAAATATATTATTTTTGATTTGAACATCAATAGGCTGTCTACTATTATTACTATCTATAATTATATACGACAGACAATCTACTGGCGTACTGTAATCAAAAATAATATATTTCATACGTTTTAGAATAAAATAAATGTCAGACCAAATGACACAACCAATAAAATCGCGATAAAATATTTTATACCATTGGAATGTATATATTATTTTACGTTCAACGTTGAAATATTGTATCGCAGTTAATTGTCTTGTTTTATTTTTATCTAATTCATTTGGCATAATATTAACAGTCACCTTTGTGCAGCTATATCGCATTTTTGGTCCCGCGCATATGCACTCCCGAACAATTAATAAATAAATAATAATAATACTAATAAACTCTAATCTAAATAAATAGATTTGTTAATAAAGTGAAATATTAATGATTTTTGTAAATAAATGTATTTTAAATTACCACTTATGCGAAATAAATGACAAATTTTAAAAATTGTACTCGATACAATTAATAATACAATCAAAATAATTACATTGTATATACATATGTAATTATTGATTATATATGTCTTCGTTACTAAACGCCCTTCTCATGAAATCTATAAAAAGTTTCGTCCTATTTAGCGATTTTTGAAATCGTAAAAAACCAGCAACAATGTTCCTGTTGGAGACATTGATGTAGATATTCAGATCAAGTTTTCAATGAAAAACGCTTAGATCATAAAATATGATCAAAGAAAGTACTGTATCTATTTCAATTTAGCTCGTAACAAAATTTGGAGAAAATATGAATTTGGAATATTCCTATATTTGCTTGTAAATATTCGTGTTTTCCAATAAATTATAACAGGCCACTGTTTCAAAACAGAACAAAAAAAATTTTAAGCAAAACTTTTTACGTGGTCTGTTGTAAAATATCAATTATTATTTATTTACCGCGCCAGCGACAGATCGTAGTCGAAAGGTGGTGAGACAGCTCGCACTTATGTCTCCAGCTCTGGACTGCATGGAAATACCCTGGGTCGCGTGCATCTCTAATGACCGTGTTGACGACTCCAACCTGTAATTGTACATATAATTTTAATAAATTCTTTTTATAACAACATATTTTAACCCCTGTGTAATAAGTACTATATTAAAGTTAAAATAAATATAAATACTTAGGCTTACGAGTAATGCAAGTAACCATGTGTAAAGTTAAAAAGTTTAATTTTCAATACAATTTTTAATACCTGAAATTTCAAAGTAGCGACTGTGTTATAATACATATATGTTTACTTTATTTTTTCTTTTTATGTAGTGACTGTAAATCTTGACTGTAGAACTTTTAACAAAAGCATTTTTTTCAAGTTTATCTTATTTTACATGTGGAAATGCCAACGCTTACCCGCCTCGACGGGGCAAGAACGGGTTATGTCGGACGCGCACAAAACACCATGGTGTTCCACCTTCGCCACATATTTACAGGGCCACGGGAACGCTTTGCTACACATCAGCTGCCTCAACGGCGCCGACCACTGCACTCCCAACTCGTACTCAGGTAAGAAGGCGCACCATATCACATGGCACGGCCCCCTCACTTCACCTGCGCAGCGGATGCCCCCATTTCGGATGCGCAAAAGCCATGGGGGCCAGAAAAAACGAGAAACGGAAGCACTAGCTTTCCTAAACCCAGCAGCACAACTGGTCTATGGCTCCGCCGGAAACCAAGATATGTCTGCGGAGGGTAAGAATAGCGGTACCTCGCAATAGACTCCACCTCAGCTGCACGTCAAGTTCACTCGGAGTGGCCACCTCGGGCCTATTCTTCACCTCGGGCCAGCCATGTGGGTTTCTCTTATTTTACCGTGGGTGACCAAGTCACTGCTTAGTAGCAATGACTTGGTCACCCGCGGTGAAATAAAGGCTGGAACCGTTTCAGGGGTACCCCTGAAACGGTTCCAGCTTACGTAGTATTACGTAAGCTTGAATACCAATGTCAACAGAAAGGCTACAAGCTAAATAGACTAAAGCCTGAGGGCGCACAATCCTAGACGACACAAGGTCGGCGAAGGAAATAATATTTGTAAATTGTTGTATTTTGACAAATCGAAGAAGTAGGGCGACTACTTCCGTTTGTGATAACTTTGTGTACAGACGTTGATTGTTTTGATTTTCATTGGTTAAAAACGAGTTGGAATCAATTTTTCTAGAGAAGACAAATAAGGCCGCCATTCTTAGTTTTAGGTTTGGATACCGTAACTGAAAAGAAAAAAATTGAACCCTTATAAGGTTACTTTGTTGGTCGTTCATTTGTCCGTCTGTCAAGACACATTTTCTCAGGAGCGGGTAGAGGTATCACGCTATAATTAATATCAAAAATACTAAGGTGTAGACCTTCCTTTTAAGAGTAAATAATAGTTGAAATTTCTAAGTAGACGATCTTAATACACGGCCATTTATATTTCATGTTTTGTTAACAAACTTGCTCGCTAATATTTAGGGTAGATACTGCCCGATGACCTAGATTGAAAATCATGAAATTTGACTAGAACTAGACTCGTAACACAAGTAAACGGCAAATCCAAAAATCAAAAAATTTGTAGTAAACAAGTAACAAATCGAATTTGAAACCTAAATGGCGCTAACAAAGTTCCGAAGTTAAAAGCAGTATACATAGAATAGCTCCGAACACTCAGAGAGTTAGCCGCTCCTCGGGCAGAACACCTTGCCCGGCGGGAGATCTCTCCTTTTCTTTTCTACGGCTATACTGGTGACCAACCGACGTGATATGTTCATATCATGTCTATTCTCTCCGCAACTCTCTTCCAGACGACATCACAGTTGGTGGGAGATACCAGCCGAATACTCGGGCCAGTAAGGATAAAATCTAGTCCAAAAAAGAAGCTATGGTTGTGCATGCCAATCTCTTATTGCAGGCCATCTGCGAATTGGGCGATACCAATATTGTTAGATTTAAAACCTCCAAAACACAAGCGTGTATTTTCACCATTATATGAAGCCCGCTATTCCCGGCTTCTATATTTCGGGATGTATCTTTGGAGTACACTGACCACTTTCAGTTGTTAGGGGTTGAGATTTCTCCAAATCTACGGTCAGTTTATTGAGTGCAGGTCTAAAGCAGTCGCAAAGAAACTAGCACTAGAAAGGGTGCGACGATACTTCACGATCTTACCTTATATAAAGCACTATAAAGTCCAGTCTTATATGGATTACTGAGTCACATGTTGGCTAGTGCTGAAAAACGCTAAATAGCATTTCTGTACTTAATGGAGAGACTAGGATAATTGAAATCTTGTGCCAGCTTCGAACACAGCCGCAGAGTAGCTAGCTTCACGGTTTTCTAAACGATACATTTAGGAGAGTGTGCGCAAGAATTGCATAACTTAATTCCTCCCTCTCCCTTCCACCATCAGACAACCAGACGCTCGGCCAGTCTTCATTCTTTCCTGGTTGACTTACCACGCATTTGAACCAAATAGTTTTATTTTTGTCATGCGTACAGCAAAGGAATGGAATAAATTAACCAGCATCTGTCTTTTCATCCGATTACAATTGCCCGACTTCAAAGCAATAGTGAATAGGCTTTTGTTAAGTCTACGCGCTTTAGCATGTTCGGCTGCACCACCACTTACTATCAGGTGGGATAGTAGTCAAGTACTCGCTGAGAATAGTAAAAAAATATAAATCGGGCTAAAATCATCGAGACCAGAAAGAGGATCATCTCGCACCTTTGATTCTACTTCCCACCTCCACTCTGTTATTTTATGTCTGGTGTAAAGTAAATAATTACTCGGATGCAATAAAATCGTTAAAGCATAATAGTTGTATCTTATGATACACTCGGAACGAGACGTGGTGATAGATTCTCTGACGCCGCCACCACATAGCATTCCACTTTTACGAATATAATAATTAACTCCGATTAATTTTCCAGGTAATAGAAAAATAAATCTTTAAAAATTTAAGAAAATCCGATTCGATGATGACCATACCACTGAAAGACAGAAACGGCACTTTTCATCGCCCATTATAAAAGAAATTTCTACTAAGATGCTCCAAAGAACCGCCACTCGCTTAAGCAAAATCGAAGTGAATCCTGAGAAAAGTGTAGCAAGATATATATATATATATATATATATATATATATATATATATATGTAACGTCGGAACCTCAATCCGAAAAAAATCATTAGGCACGATCATTCCATTCGGCCATCAAATCCCCGGAAAAAACGGCCACGGCGGTAGTATCAGCGAAGCTCCGACCTGCAAAGGGATGGTGATGTTCCGTCAATCTCTGAATTTTTTAAGTTAACGTCTCAGCGCTATTTTGAAAAAGCCAAGACACATCCTAACCCGCTAGTGCTAAGAACAGTCACGCTCCGACTTTAAACGTTACGGCCAGTCTCCGGACCCAGTAAGAGTCTCCCAGTTTGACGGTTCCGTGGCGTAGTGGCTTAGCAATGAGTTGTTGCACTGGAGGCCGCGGGTTCGAATCCCTCAAAAAACAAGTATTTGTTTGGCGTACAAATAATTGTTCCGGGTCTGGATATCTGTCCTCGTGCAATTTATGTTCGTAAACTGCCTCCACGATACAGGAGAAAATCCTAGTGTGGTGGTAAAGTTTTTGTAAAAAAAAAGTAACGTTTTAATAAAACCCTCAATTCCGTTAGATTTCAACAACCTAAATGTCGCCAGCCCATCATTCACAAACACTACACACACACACACACACACACACACACACACACACACACACACACACACACACACACACACACACACACACACACACACACACACACACACACACACACACACACCTAGTATCACAAACACAATTAGGACAACGGACGAACGCAGCGTGTCCGCAGACGGTCGCGCCGCACTCCCCTCCACAACCTACACCGTACACCGGCGTGCCTGTGCGGTTCTCACCGCGTGGTTCGAACCTCGAACGACATGAGTTAGCCGTCAGAGCTGATGCCCGCAACCTCTGTTCGGACGGAGGTTAGATAACTCATTTGTACACAATATACTTCTATAGGTGAACATCCTTACGAAAGTAACGTTGGAAATTATTAACCTGCCCCTCCTCCTTTTTTAGCTCGCGGCCTTACAGGGCCTGTATAGGATGAAACTGAAAAGCCAAAAGCTAACAGTACTAACGTCACAGAAACTAGCAGCAGCATCTCAAAACCATCTGAAGCTAAGATACTTAACAAGCATTTCCCATAAGCTTTTTTTAATATTTTACAACTTTGAGATAGAAATGATGAATTGACACAGTGGTAAATTAAACATGAAAATGACTTCCAATAAGTATTATTTATAGTCTATATTGGATAAAAAGTTTCTATTTCCATTTATATTTGCTCTTAACTTACACTAGTTGTTTCGATGGCGGTGCACGCACAAGTGGCGCTTGAACTGCAGTGTGGAAGGATGCACCAGCTGGACTGGTCACAACAAGATTATCGGCACCCACCGTCACCGAATCTTGTGTCGCACCCAGTAATAAGCCGCCACGTGCATCCCGTACCTCTAGCCTCCCCACATTCACTTCTAAGCGGTCGTGACCTAACAAGAGAAATTTTAAAACATTCAACATAACATTTGCATCGTTTATTAGTCCCCAGAGTCGGAAGCTATGACTTAGACTCATTGTTCAACGTTATATAAATTACATCATTACAACTTTGTTTTAATTTATAATCAAACGTGTAATTTTCAGCTTTTTTATTTAAATTTATAAATGTTTTTCCTTTGATGATAAAAGTTAAAGTTTTATAAGTACATTTAAATTTTATATAATATACGTTTTAAGAAGCTAAAAGGTGATAAAAAACTATTAAAAGCGTGCAAGGAAATTCAGTTCAATATTTAAGTATATTAAATTATATTATAATGTAGTTTTTATCATATTACTTTAATATACTATGCACATGGAAAGACAGTTTTAAATGAAATAAAGCTGTATATTGAATGTGACTTACCTAAGTATAATCTACTCTGAAGAGATCCGTGTGAGTCTCGAGTAGAAACTGTAAAATTTCTGGACGATTCAACAGAGATGGGTTGACCTCGGCGTGACTTGATACTGGACGCGAAAAGAGAGTCCAGCACAATAGCCTGCCCTAGTAGTTGCAAACCTCCCGGAACTATACGTAATTGACCCATGCCCTCCTTAATAAAAAAAATTGTGTCGTCAGTTTGCGCAACATTTTTAAGAACACAAAAAGAAAAAAGTAGGTTAATTAAATTAATTTTTCTTTAATTAGACATACTTCATTAAGAGTAATGTTATAACTAACTACAGATTTTGTATAGTTATGGAATTTAAGGTTGGTTAAGATAATGTATATCGTAGTCTTTAGGAGAGTGCGTTAGTTAGTCCTACTCGCATTAGTAAGATTCTATTCGCCTTTCTAAATAAATCAAATAGAATTACTGTTTTGTTTCTAGTGTTACCCTTTCCGCTCCCGCTAAACCCCCCGCGCGTCTCTATCTCTCTCTATTGCTAGGTACCCTGTAGTGTAATGGATTTAGAAACAACTTTAGAATGCATCATAATAGATGTAGAGCGCATGACTCGTGTTGTTTGCAACAAAGAACGTTAATTAAATTAATTTAATAATGGCGAAGTAGAACGAATTTGAGATTGGGTTGACTACTGATCATATAAAATGGCTTCCTTTATTTATTCCACCACTATAGAATTACGCATATTTCCTGAACTTGTTAGTCCATCCGCATGACGAAATTTAACTCTACTGAAAGAAGCAGTGTACACTTCTACTCAAAGGGCACCAAAATCACTTCATCACTCATTTTTGAGTGTTACTAATGTAGAGTACATTAATACGTGAATCCTAAATTATATGGAAATAGAGTGCATAGCGTGTAATTCTATTTATTCGTATCTTTAGAATGTGTGTACACGGATAAATTAAAATGTCAAAACTTAACGATGTATATTTGAAGCAATGATTTAAAAATTTGATTGAAAGCAATTAAATATAAACTCTGGACATAGGTTTTCCAAAAATGTACCAGCTGACTTCTGCATATCAATGTTATGTTACATACAGGTACATATAATATACTCTGTGGTTGCATACTGTAACATTCATTTTTATGCAGCCGACAGCACTGGCGTTGCTTTGTACATCGGCAGTGCTAATATTTCTCGGGGAGACGTCGTCGAGTGCCAAAACAAACTTGTATATCGAGTCTTTGTTAAAAAGAGTCAATCAGTCTCTGACTGGGGTGACTAAATCTAGTCCAGTGTAACCTCAAAAGAACCTCAAAAGACTCAAGTTTGCCTGTTTATCTCTAAAAAGAACCCTTTTGTCGTATCTACTCAATTTTCGAGCCCTCCTCTCGCAGCCTACGCCAGCATCTGAATAATTGACATCGACATTTACAGTACAATTCGGCAGTTACTTGGAAAAGAAGGCTAAACTGGCATCTAAAAAGCTTGGTGTAGTCAGTAGATCGAGACGGAATTTCATGTCGGCCCACGGCTTGTAGCTTTACGAAGCGCAGATTACGCCTTATATGTAATACTGTTCTCATATCTGGGCCGGGGTACCCCAGTATCAGCTCCCTCCACTTGACCACATTTAGTGGAGAGCGATCCGAAAGTTCTTTCCGATCGGCTTCATGCACTTGCCTTGCAAAGAGACCTTACGTTTCTGTGCATCTTTTATCGCATAGAGCACGTGGTATACTCAGAGGAGTTGTTCGGATTAATTCCAGCTGCTGATTGCACTACGGTGCCATTTACGCAGAATTTTCTACCTCACACGACCATACTGTGGAATTTAGTATTGCCAGCGATTTTTCTGGACCGATACGACTTCAAAATCTTCAAGAAAAGAGCCTACTCCTTTCTCAAAGCACAACGCACTTGCAATTCCCCTGGTGTTGCAGATGACCATAGTCAAAGGTGATCATTTACCGTCAGGTGAACCGATTGCTCGTTTACCTCCTCTTCCATAAAAAAGACAAGTGCGGCCACTGATCTGTAGCAGACGGACCACACTTGTTACCTCATCGGTAATGTCGACAAAAATGTTTGGAAGGCTAACTAACTATTCCGATGGAAGCCGACGAAATCATACGGATTGCCGATCACTGGACAGAGCGCCATCGACAGTAATTTTCATTTTGGTAAATATAATCTCAGGGTTATTAACACTAAAAACACATAAATTTCGCATGAGACATACGAAAATATTGGACATTTTTTACGGTGTCGTTTTAATACATGTCGTATTTAATACAATTTCGTGTAAATCACGGAATACCGTATGATTTTCGCAATGCTGCGATCTCTGCTGAATATGCCATCTATCCGCTCGCTACGAAAATCTGAATGCTATTGTTAAACAATCCGATTGTTGCGTTTATAGTGGGCGCATTACTGCAAAACTAACCCGTTTGATCTAGCGAGCCTGTGGATGCATAACTTAAAAGGACGTTTTACAATGAAGAATCCAAATCGTTTTACAATAAAATAGAGGTATGAGCATGTTGTATTTTGTAGCATATCGTTTTTCTTATACTTTATATATAAGTTACACTCACCGAATTAAAATCCAACACTTTTAGAACCCAAAGTGTCAGCGCAAGATTAAGAATCATCATAAACATAAGTGCCATAACAAGAATGTACAGACATTTCTTTCTCCATCCATATATGCCAACTTTAAATTGACTGTTATAACTGTTCCTGATAGAGTCAGCTTTTGTGTCCCTTCCTTCATTGTTGTTTAGAATTGGTTCAGGAGTGATTTTGTCAGCATAAGGTATTCTGAAAAAAAAAATAAAGAAAAATATACCATAAATTATTGAACACGCTTAGGGATATGTTCATTAAAGTGATAAAAAAGAGAAATAGAGTGAGTTTTATATTTTATGAAAATTATATGGGTAATGTATATACGTTTCCTTTCATTAAATTATCTACCTAATTATAATCCTTCTCCTTTCTCTCATCATTAATAAACAATACGCTGCTCAGCATGGCCACTACATACAATAAAAGATTTTCCAATTATCGCTACCTAAATACCTAATGCTAATCGATGGACGATATTCTAGGGACCGACTGATGGGTTACGTTCAGCGGTGAATTTAATAATGTTTTTTTTAACTGAGTTGACAAACGAACTTTAGTACAATTCAACAGTCCCAGGTGGACTGTTGAATTGTACTGACTGAGAGGTAAGAACTAAGATACTGATAGGATACTGAGAGGTACGAGTAAGTACTAAGTACTACGTGGTAGAGCCATAAATAAAATTGAAGTGTCTGTTTGCAACGTCGAAATAACAGTTTTTTACTAATTTCATACGAAAGTATATACGATATTTATAACAAAAACACATTTTTTAAATGTTTGTCTGTCTGTCTGTCTGTTTGTTCTGGCTAGTCTCCGAAACGGCTAGACCGATTTCGACGGGACTTTCACTGGCAGATAGCTGATGTTATACGGACAGCTAGTGTTTCAAATACTTTACAAATACTTTAAAAATATTGTGACCGCTATTATTTAGATCACCTTATTACAAAAGTGCGTTATATGTGGTAGAGCCATGCTGCAGCTATATTAGTATTATAGTTGTAGCACAAATGGGTAGGCTTGACCGGGGAAGGACCACGCTCTCACAGAATACCAGCGTAAAATAGCAGCTTAACGTTGCTGTGTTTCGTATTGGTGAGTGTAGAGAACCAGAGACCCTTTTTACTGGAAAAGAGGCATTCCATCTTAGTCCTCACGGGTGACAACGCATCTGCATATTGAGTCTTTATTGAGGATAGATGTAGATGTCTATGGGTCACAGTAACCACTTACCATCAGGTGGACTGTGTGCTCGTTTGTCACCCGATCCTATAAAAAAAAAAGATGGTATGACTTAAAGCCTAAAAATATACTGGCAGTTTATATAACTACTTCAGGCTGGAACAAAGCAGTGCAGTCTCTGTTATTTGGCGGTAGACTTAGGCACGAGTTGCCTACCCGCATAGGTTACCCGCTCCCTAGGAGTGAGCAAAGGTGGCCTACCTTACTAGTACCACTAATATAAGTATGTAGGTTATTTATGTGATGTATAAATTAAACTTTATTTGTAAAAATAATTTAAAGTATTTTTAGAGATGTTTTTTTGCAATGAGTTGCAGCGCTAAGGACCACGGGTTCGAACTTCGCACGGAACAAGTATTTGTATTACCTACAAATAATTGTTCCGGGTCTGGATGTTTGTCTTTGTGAAATCTATGTAAGTAGACTGCCCATGCGATAAAGGAAAAAATCCTAGTGTGGAGGTAACGTTTTTTAAAAAGAAAAGAAAGAGGAAAGAAAAAGAAAAGAAAAGAGACAAAAGACTACAAATTATTATAACGACGTTTAATCAAGTCGACATAAAAATGAGTTTACTTTTTACATAATTCTCATTTTTTGTAATAAATGTCCTTTGAAACCAAGTTGCCAATTTCAACAGAGTAAAGCTATCAGCACTGGATAGGATTATAGTGCACGTGTATTTGCGCACAGGCGCACTCTCCGTTCCCTTACTCTCATAATTCGTCACGACCAGAGAAAGATCAGGTGCAAGATTAACATTTTTACGTGCTTTTCGAGGTTTTGTTCCGACCCGGGATTCAATGACCAGTAGACAAATTGTACGACTACTAAACAAATTGTACTCAGAATTTTTTAAAGTTATAAAAGCATTAGTAAAAGAATTAAAAACAAATTCCCGAAACATGTATCCAAAAGAAAACACAAGTAATATTTTTTATAACATAAAAATATTTATTTTTGCAACAACGCAAATATACCGGGAAACAGTTGTCTGAAACACATTCCACTTGCATAAATCATAGCTTTATTTCCTTTAGTTTCTACGGATCGCAGCAAATCTGGTTTTATGTCGCTTACAAGTGTCTTATCTCTCGAGTACATTAATTTTAACATAAATACTTTTTGATATATCGCTAATATTGTTTTGTATTAATATTTAAAATTACATGTTCTTTTTTCTAAACCACACATGTTGTTTTCATAAATATATCTACGCAAGACATAATTCCTTTATTCTCTCATCCCGTAATATAGTACACCTAAACGGCCCATGTTCAGGGTAACTTACAATGTAGATACGATTTACTTCATCGCCAAACTTGGCAAGCTGATTGGTGGTCGCTATATCAGACGTGTCCCCTTTAACACTGTTCCCCGTCAAAGATGCGAGGATGATTATAATGACATTTATTTGAAGCTATGAAATCTTTCAGTCATTGTTGGACAAAATATTTAATGGATTATGTTGTGCCGCCATCACACAACAAAATTATTTAAAACTGTTATATAAAACATGGTAAAATTAAAAATTTTGTACAACCGACTTCAATATAAATAAAATGAGAACATAAATGTAATAAAATTAAATTAAATACGCATTATTAAGGACAACTAAAAACCCACTAAACAGACTATGACTAAATTTATATGGGACCACATGAAAAACACCAGCTTTTAAATAAAAAAAATCACCAAAATGGGTTCAACTAGAAAAAAGTAATGAGGTAACATATAAAAAACAACATACAGTCAAATTGAATACCTCCTCCTTTTTGAAGTCGGTTAAAAGAAGTCAAAACAGGCTAATAATTATATTTTACTGTACCCCCTCACTGCATCTAATGAGTTTGATTTCTAATGGTCACGCGAAGTAGATTATACTAAAGCAACTGAAATTGGTTTTCACCCTTTCCGTAAGCAATTACATATTTACTACTGTTTTAAGTGTTTTAAGTGATTAAGTTTAGACACAAAAAGTAAAGAAGTGGACGGCCATGAATAAAATATTTAACTATATATATATTTTATATGTGGTAGAGCCATGCTGCAGCTATATTAATAGTATAGTTGTAGCACGAATTGGGTCGGCTCGACCGGGGAAGGACCACGCTCTCACAGAATATCAGCGTAAAATAGCAGCTTAATGCTGCTGTGTTTCGTATGGTGAGTGTAGAGAACCGAAGACCCTTTTTACTGGAAAAGAAGCATTCTATCTTAGTCCTCACGGCTGACATCGCATCTGCATTTTAATTCGTAAACGAAGATAGATGTGGATGTCCATGGGCCACGTCAACCACTTACCATCAGGTGGACTGTGTCCTCATTTGTCACCCTCATTTTATAAAAAAAACTACATTCGTCACTATGAGCAAAAGCAATATCATTAAAACAATATATATGTTTAATTTTTTATATAAAGTTAGACACTCAATAGCAATTAAAACAATGGGCGGCATGTTTTATTTGACTATTGCAATTATTCCTATGAATAGAACAGCGGGCATCGGGTATGCGTTGGCGCGGTACGGCTTGTGCATTACTGGCTTTTAAACAGCTGGATTTTATTTGAAAACGAGTAAAACGCACCTTTATTTGCATAAAACGAGTTTATTGTTTTAACAAATACGGATTTAACAACATCGATAACTATAAAATGTTATGCAGTACTGTTTAAATTAAAACAAAACATGTTTCGTGCTCTTTCGTTTTATATTTTCATATTAATTTTAACACTTGTACTGTCCGGTTTAGAGACACAATAGTAAGACAATAGCAATGACCTATATCTAGTGCACGGGACAGCGAAAAGGTTAAAGTTTTACACAACTTACTGCTTACATTACTACTTCAATTCTTCTGTCTGATTCAGCCATCCATCCATCCAATCCAGCTTAGTGCTAGTATATTGTGTGATCTCAATACGTATCATATTTCGTAGAGACGTATACGAAAGCATCCAAATCGGTATTCGTAAAACTGGCTACCGTCTGCGGTTTAGGGTCATAAATTTTCTAGGATTGAGTTAGACATTAACAGAATAGACAAGAATATTGTGTACTGAAAAATTGTAACTCGCATCTTCAGCATAGTAATAAAATGCACTCAACATATACATATTTCTGTTTAGTAAATATATTTAAGAGATTCTTGGAACTAAAGCTCAAATAAAACTTTTGTAATATTTGTATGTTTATGATTATTATAAACTTTTGATAAGCTGTTAATGTTTAACATTTAACACTATCAACACAGTTATAATTCATCTCAATTCCAGTGTTGAATAAAGTATTCTAAACACGGATCAAACAAAGATCCTCTATTTATTTTACGCATTCTATCAAACAGACAAATTTCTTGCATAATCCTCTTTATAGAGCTTACTTAGGGGTTTTATGTTTAATCATACGACTGGTGTTATAGAACCATGGTTCGGTTTCACAGGTTGTCATTACGGACAAGACGTAATGGTTGTAAACATTTGTTATCACAAACATACTCAGCAACAACTTTGAGCGTAGTGCAGCCATTAACAAGCGGCTATGTTACGTGGACGTTAGACGCGTTCCTTTGTCTTTCTCATGTTTATTTCAAGACCTACATGTTGGGAGACAAAATTAAGTGAAACGAATTTTACGGGTTCTATCGCGTTTAATTTAAACTTTCTATTAACTTTTTAATAAATATTTAAAATAAAAATAAATGACGTGGTTACGGGGTACCTCTTGTATGACAAACTTAGTTCTGCAAAGTTCTGTGCTTGTCTGTGATTACATATAATGACTGATTTCTCATAAATTAAAGATTTTTAAGTAAATTTTTTTTAACTCCATAATATTATTCCATAATATGATCATCATAATTACAGCCTTCACAAGTCCACTGCTGAACATACGCCTCCGCCAAGGAATGCCACAAAGCACGGTCCTGAGCCACATGAATCCATTGAC